GAAGCCCGAGGCAGAGTTGCTCTGCCCTGGGCTTCCTGGAATCAGCCACTGATCAGTTTCAGCAGCAGCTGACTTGGGGACTGCCTCGGGCTTCCTGTAGTCAGCCGCTGGTCAGTTTCAGCAGCGGCTGACTCTGGACGCCAGTTCCGACTTAAGTACAAATTCGACTTAAGTACAAACATACAGTCCCTATATTGTTCGTAACCCGGGGACTGCCTGTACTGCAGAAAGAATAACAAGCCTTGTGGACAGGGAGAAACGGCAGATGTGGCACACCTAGACCTCAGTAAAGCATCTTAAAGAGTAGTGATTAATGGTTCTCAGAGAGTAGTTACTAATGGTTCACAGTAATGCTGGAAGGGCACAAGTTCCGCCGGGGTCTGTTTTGAGACTGGCTCTGTTCAATACCTTCATCAACAATTTAGATGATGGCATAGCCATAAAGAGTATGCTTATTAAGTCTGCAGAGGATACCAAGCTGAGAGCTAAACTAAAACTATCTTTACATCGGATTTTTTTGATAAAATGCTTTTGAGGGGGGAAAAAAACCTTTTTAAATTTTAAAAATTCAGGTTTCTTTAACTGATTTTTATCCATTCTTGTTGTAAACAAGACAAGTAGTAATTCTTCCATTCTACTCAGTTCTCTAAATCAGGCCTCATAAGTGCTGTGTCCAGTTCTGGGCACCATGCTTCAGGAAATATATGGACAAATTGAAGAAAGTCCAGAGATCAGAAACAAAAATAATTAAAAGTCTAGAAAATATGACCTATCAAAAAAGATTTAAGTAAGTGGGTTTGTTCAGTCTTCTCAAGAAGAGAAGATGGAGGGAGGATGTGATTACAGTCTTCAAGTATGTAAAAGATTGTTACAAAAGGCAATAAATTGTTCTCTTTTATCACCGAGGACAGACAAAAAGTAATAGGTTTAAATTACAGCCAGGGAAATTTAGGTTAGACATTAGAAAGAACTCACTAACTACAATAGTAAAGCATTGGAGCCAATTACCAAACACCTGTCAAGGATGGTCTAGATAATATTTAGTCCTGCCTCAGAGTAAGGAACTAGTCTAAATGAGGTCTGTTCTAGACCTACAATTCTATACTTCTATTTTGTTTTGACTAACAGGGATAGGCATTTGCTGGGAAGGAGCATACCATTATAAAAATAAAATAAACCAACACTCTTCAGTAGAAAAAGAATCAACCTCTCCACTACAGGGCAGCTCCAGACCTCTGAATGGTAGTAACTATGTTTTATCTGCAATCGACATTACACCAAATAAGATGCACTTAATAATAAACTGCTAAGTGCACTATGTCATGGACCTTTGATTACCTGACTCATACTCTAAACCACGGGTGGGCAATCATTTTTGATGGGGGGGGACAACTCCAAGAATTTGGAAAGTAGTCAAGGGCCCCAAACTTTCATATTAATGGAAAAGGAGAGGGGTATGGGATTGAGGCTGGGTGCAGAAGGGAGCAAGAGAAAGTGTGGGGTCTGGGAGGGAGTTTGGGTGAAGGAGGCAGTTGTGACCTGGTGCAAGGGACTAGGGTGCAGGAGGAGATACAGGGGTTTGGGCTATGACCTAGGGCAGTATGGGGTTGTGACTTAGGGTGGGGGACTGGGGTGCAGAGGTTTGGGTTACAACCTGGGGTAGGAGCTTGTGATGCAGGATCTGGGAGGGAGGGGGGCAGAGGGCTGGGGTGCCAAAAGCAGGCTCTGGCTGGGAGACTTACCTGCTTGACTCCCAGGTAGCAGCTTTCTCAAACAGACACCCTGCAGCGCTTGAAGGTTCATAGCCATTCAAAAAAAGCTCCACATGAGAAGCAAGCACCCCCCCCCCCCAGCCATATCCAGTGGCTTGGCGGGCCACATCCAGCCCTCCAAGAGTATTTTGCTTAAGCCTGCTCTAAGACATCTTTGCTGAAACTGCAGGATTCTGTATATGTTGCAAGCCCCAAGCAGCTTCAAATAATCATTATTTCAAGCACTATGCAATCATAACAATTTAAGGTAAAATATTTCACAACCCCACAAGTCTAAAAATTGGTGTTTTATAACACTAAAAAGAGGTTCCCAATTTCCCAACAGGACACAAGATGTACTTTTAGCAATGCTATTTGATACTAAATACTGGATATTAAAAATAACTTTTTGTAGGCATAATTATATAATTTTAATAGCTAGTTAGACAGAAAACATTTCAGCAACATTTTGCCAAGATCCTCACCCCTTTTCTTCCCCATCATTAAAAAATTCAAGCCTTTTATAGCTAGTTGCACAACAGGCACTATAGCTGCAGGAGGATCATCATGGTATTGGAAGAAGGTAAAAACAGGGAGTCAGAGATGCAGGAAATCCAAAGGTCAGATTAAGCCACTGGTACAAACGACCCATATTTATGGCCCCAACTCCTAGAAGTCTGGTGATTCTGAAGTTAGAATCTTATCTTCCCTTTAAGTGAAAAAAGTTTATAATGCTCATATTTAAGAAGAGCATGAAAAAATAGCCCATTCATAATTAATGTAGTGATGTCTGGGGACCACAGATCTCAACCAAACTCACTTCCAGAGCTGCTGCTCTAGCAACTTTTGCCAACCCTATCCCAGCGTCATCTGTGGCAGAAAGAGAGGGTAGCAAGCTAGTCCCACTCCTCAATGTAGACTCACCCCTACTACTGAGGTAAATACTGGGGGAAGGCTAAAACGCTGTCCCTTACTTCCATCCCTGCTGCTCCCACAGGGTCAGAGCTCCTGAGACTTTGTACTGGGGGAAGGCTAAAACGCTGTCCCTTCCTGTGGGAGCAGCAGGGATGGAAGTGTCAGAGCTCCTGAGACTTTTGGGATTATCCAGGAACAGGGTGGGATGACAAGAGCCGGGGGAGGGGGAGGGGACTTTCGTAGCAAGAACAAGAGTCACCATGTCAGGGCATACAGAGGGCCCCACAGTCATGCCCGGCCCTGGGAGCAGCAGGGGTTTGGGAGCCCAGACGGGCTAAACCAGAGGGGGCCTGGCAGCACAAGAGGTTGCAGAAACTGCTCCAATTCCATCGGCCACGCCGGGTACGCACCGCCCATGAGCAGCATGTGGAGGCGGAGCCGGCACCCGCCTCCCCCCCCCA